GTATTTACAGAGTATATATATGTGTACTGTATACGTTATGACTATTATAAATAATATTCCGTATTTCATTACTTGGTCGTGATTGTTTCCTAAAAAAATATTATTATTCTTATCATCGGATCGGAAGCGAATCTAACGCTTTACATACATTAAATCGATTGATTAAAATTACTGGTCCAAAATTTCAATTACTCTGTACATAAATTTGGTTATTATACATATTTCGTATTTCATTACTTGGTCGTGATTGTTTCCTAAAAAAATATTATTATTCTTATCATCGGATCGGAAGCGAATCTAACGTTGATTAAAATTACTGGTCCAAAGTTTCAATTACTCCGTACATAAATTTGGTTATTATACAACTCGTAAATTAAATAAGGTATATTATTTAAGGTTTTGTTATACATAGCCCTTAGGGCTATGCATAAAAAACAACAATTTCATGTTATTAATGCCTTTTTCCTTGTTTCAATGAAATATAACTACATTTATTAGCCCATTATAACTATTTTTTATTTTTTTAAGGATATTAAAATTACTTTTTGTTACATAGTAGAACTAACATCATATTTTTCAAAAAAAAAAAAAAAAAAAAAAAACTAACTAACATCATATTCAAAGGGGGAAAAAATGATAAAACCCACAATTAACTTTCCTGCGAATCGTTTTTTCTCACTTATAAGTAGTACATAGAAATCTTTATTCCTCATTTTCAAGCCCCATCTTTATGTAGTCCAAAATTTTATACACATCTTTTCTACAGTAATTAATTTCCGATTAGATCAACTGCCAATCTGTCATAGTACAGTAAAGAAAAAAATTACTCGTACTGAGTATGTCTACAAAAATTACGAGTATGTAAAAAAGAACAGGTAATTACAATCTATCTAAAAACAAAAATGAACTACATATTAATTAGCGTTTTACAAACAAAACATAACTACAACATATATAAATTAGAACATCTCAAACAAAAGCTGTGCATCTAGAGCTAATTAACATCTGCATATACATTACAGTACCAATAAACCCAAAGAAAAAATCAACCCAAATTAATAAACCCAAAAAATATCATCCCAATATCTCTATCATGTATGTAATCATGTTGGTGTCTTTTAATTTTAGCAGAAACAAACTCCATCTCGTCCACCACTTGTTATCCCAAATTCATATGGGTATCATTCATTGGGATTTATAATTGAAATTGTAATGCTAATTAAAAAAGAATTAATTATATATTTAATTTGGGTTAATTTATTTATCATTACATTCTTTGTTTTCTAGAAAATATAAGAGAATTATAAGCTGTCATTAATATTTAATAAATTAGATTTCATTGAAACCAGAAAAGGGTATTAATAACATGAAATTGTTGTTTTTTATGCATAGCCCTTAGGGCTATGTATAACAAAACCCATTATTTAATTGAAGGTAGGTTATACAAGGTATAAAAAAATGAATATTAATACCTTTCAATTTACTCCTTATTAATTACAAGTATTATTACGGAGTTATTTCAATTTAGCTTTTACTCGGCCTCCATTTTTACTTGACAAATTAAATTAAAAATACTCCCTTTAATTTACACAAGTGTTTTCACTAATTAATACGGAGTAATAATTTTGATCAACAATATTTATATTATCAATAAAAAAAATAAAAATTTAATATTAAGACGATTACCAGTTTACCGCATATATATACACACCCCTAGGCCTATATATAGCATTTTTCATTTTTTTATACTACTCCGTATAAAACACAATATTGGTCAAATAATGTGTTACTCGTAATCTAATGCAAAAATCAGAACTAAAACACTAACAAAAAGGAGAAGGCAGAAGAGATTTGAGAGTTGAGTGAAGCAATGATGGATAAAGAACACTTCGTAGTATTTTTTTTTTCTTGTTTGATGCAAATGAAGAGAAAGCTCCAAACGAGAAATAAACAAGGAAAAATAGTGACATTGTCGAAAGTAAATAAAAGTGGTGAAGAGGGAAAGTGATGGGCGATCTGTTGTCATCATCAAAATATCTACCATCTAGATGTTCTCGTTATTTGTAACTCATGGAGTTGTTCAATTAGTACATGCTTTTTCCAACCAAATAAAAAAACATAATCTCCCGTTTTAAAATAAATGACACTCCTAAAATTGACATGTTTGTTAATACCATAATTTGACCATTCATATATGATTCATATATAAAGTACAATCAAGCGTTCATTAAAATTAATAAAAATAGATAAATGGTTTATAAATATTATAGAGCAGTATTTTTATTTTTCAACATTCCATAATAAAAAGGAAAATTTGACATTTGCTACCAGCGAAAGAACCGTATGTTACATTTGCTACCTGTTTAATATTTTATTTTATTTTGCTACCACCAAAAGTTACAACAAATAGCTTTTGCTACCACTTAACAGAATCTGTTAGGATTCTGTTATCTGTTAGGATTCTGTTAAGTGAGGTCCATTTTTCATTAAATAATGATTTTATTTATTTAAAAAAATATTAAAAACTTTTTTTTTAAAAAAAAAAAAAAACCCCAGCCACTCAACTTCCCGTCAGCCACCCCTCAACCACCCCCCCGTTCCGGCTTCCGGCGCCCTAATAATCTCCCGACGTCGGTGACCCCTCCCCATCCCCTTTCCCTCTATGCTTGGCCGCCCTACCAATTCTTACCCTTTGAAATTGGGGCTTTTCAATGCACTAGGTTTTCGTGCAAAATTGGTGGCGTTGGTGGTGTTGCGGGCAGTGATTGATTGTGTGTGGCGAGTAGATGAATTGATGGTGGTGCTGGTTGCTGCGCGCGATAGCCTAAGGTGGGTTGTGACGGTTGTTGTTCGTTGCTGCTGGAAGTAGTGGTGGCTGGGCTGATTTATTGCAGGTTGTTGCGAGGGTCTGCAAATTGGTGGATGCAATTTTAAGGTGCTGTTGGTGGCATGCTAGCGGCTTTGTGGTTGCGCCACTGTGGTGGCTGGCTTTGTGGTTGCGCACTGCGGTGGTTGCTGATTATTATTAGTGTTTGTGCAGGTGGTTTGTGAATGCTTGGTGTGTTGAGGGGTGAAGGTGGAGTTGGTGGTGTTGTGGTTGGTGTGTGAATGTGGGGTTTGGGTGCCGGCGGCCGAAGCGAGAAGAGGGGAGGGGGGGCTGGCAGTGAGGGTGGTTGGAAGGGGGCTGGAAGGGAAGGAGGGTGGCTGGCACTGCAGTGAAGGCGGTTGGATGGTGGCTATGACCCCACTAACAGCAACATTGACGGAAACCATCATTTGACAGTGAAATATATATTTTTGAGATTTAGGTGGTAGTAAGATAAAATAAAATATTAAATAGGTAGCAAATGTAATACATGGTTCTTTTGCCGGTAACAAATGTTAAATTTTCCTAATAATAACCTATTTTCACTGTTTTGTTATAAGTTCAACAAAGTTCATACGATAGAATTTCATTCAAAATGGACAACTCCGCAAGTAGTAATGTCACGAATGAGACACATGCCAAACATAGAAATCATACATGTAGTCTCCCACTCCACCCTCCCAACGGTTGGATTTCATTTGAATCTATTTGTGTAATGCTTTTAACAGTATTTTGATACTTTCTAAGTGTTCTATACTTTAGTTGTCTTCTTTTTAAGAGCATCAATTTAGAAAACACAACAGCATAGAAATTTCAATTTGATAGAATAAAGAAATGTTTGAACAAAAACTACTCCCTCTGTTTTAAAATATAATCGAGTGTTACTTCATAGATATATGTGAATAAAAGATCTTGTCTCCATCACAAGTGAAATCTGGAAAAAAAATAGATGGTAAATTTTCGCAACAATGATTAGAAGTTGTTAGCGAAAAAAAAAAAAAATAATGATTGAAGAAAACAAGAGGTCCCTTCACTCCAAGAACAAAAAAGATGAAGGTAAACCTCAGCTCCTAGTTCATACCCACCCTCTAATGGTTGCACACTTATGTGCACCTTCAATGGTTATTCATGAACTATCAGCTGTAGCATGTTACCTCCATTCACTTTTTAGTTTTGGAGGAAGAGATCTCTTATATATACAAACCATCATTCCATCTCCAAATATAGCTGTGAAGGTAGCTGTAATTGTGGAGATAGCTGTGAGTTGTGTATGTAGCTGTAAGCTGTGAAGATAAATAATTTAGATATGAGGGTTCGATAAAATAGCGGTTGACTAGCTATTACATATAAAAATCAATATTTTATTTTTAAAACTATAGATTAAATTTTCAACAGCTACCTCAAAAACTACCTCTAAGTTCAAAAGCTAATCTTTCTAACTTTTCATAAAAGCTACCCCCACCACTAAAAGTTACCTTAATCACTACTTTGCCAAACACTCACATTTTTTGTCAAGTAGTGATTTGACTTGGTCAAACCACTAAAAGCTACCTAAAAAGCTACTCAAAAGCTAGCGCCGAACACGCTCGTAGAAGAATCATACGATAAATACATATACATGTGAAGTTTTCATTTTGAATCTTTATTTCTCTTAATCAAGATGTACCATGTATCAAATGTACGTATATATACTCCTAATTTATGAAGATTTGCATGAAGTGCTATGTATCACTTTGAGATATGGTTTGGTAGACGAAAAAAGAATCCTCTGTAGTTATTACTACGATAGGAAATCCCGGGTGATAAATGATCTTAAACGTATACTTCAGTACAACAGTTTAATACAACTAGTAGGTATTACTCGTATAAGGGTGGTTTGATATATTGTTGAGACAGGAGAGGTGGTTTTTATTTATCGACGGATGGCTTGTTACAAAATCAAGGGGGGATTGTTGCACATCTCACACAGTATTGTCTATTGAGTGATGAAATAGCGCTGATCATCCTCCTTGGCAATTTGGCATTACCCTGACTGCCTGACATATTAAAGAACTGATTTTTGGGCAAAAGAAGAAGAAAAAAATGATACTCTGTTAACATGTAGCTGGATTGAAAGAGAAATTAGCAGCTGTACTTCGGAAAATTAAAAGAATGTCATGTTTCAAGATCATACATAAATTGATATATTTTTTTTTTCCACAGATACATAAATTGATTTTAACAGCAACAGAGAGATAGTTATTGTTCATAACAAGTACTGTAATTTCACATATTGTTAGCACTGTCTCAATACAATAATCGAATTTGAAACAGTATCCTGCACACCGTTATAAACAAAAGATGTATCCATTCTGAACACTAATGCTGCGTGCCTGAGCATGGGTGGAATGTAGTGAGAATTGATTAAGGTACCATGTTATTCCTCTTGAGTTCTTTCGACATGATGCACACGCACGGCCTCAAGAATGCACATTACTTATCGTCTGATACCCAAATTGATACATAGAACACTCCATGAAGCCTCTTGAAAAGAATGTGAAAATGAAGTTAACTGAGTTTTGCTTGATCTCATGCAGGTTCATGAAGTCCCACCATGTGGCCATCAAGACAACGTAATGCTGCGATCTGCATGAGGCATCAGATAAAGAAAACAAAACATGTTGAAGATAAATGAGGATAAATTAATTGCCGTGACAAGCACACAGTACAGCCAACAATAGAAACATATATCTTTTCTGGATTTTAGCAGTTAGGGATTTGCATGATGAAGCAACTGAAGCCCATAATCCATGGCATTATGCTGGTAAAGAAGAGAATAAAAAGTAAATTATTAAAAACATTTAATCAGTATCAAGTTCTAGCTAACACGCGTATGTTACTCTTGGACTCCTCAACTATTGTTGCTAGACACTGGTACGTATCCAAGTATAAGGCTTTGTAATTTTATAAAATATCCTATGATTTTAGTCTAACAATAAAGGGTAACATGAGAGTTACGTGACAATATCCATGTCAAAACTCAATTTTGAGAATTCGACATGATTACATGAGGTAGAGGAATCAGAGTAACATAGTAGTGCAGGCAGTTCTTGGTCAGTTAGTGTCGCAACAAGCTGATATCTACAGCAAATCATCACACATCTGACAGAAAATAGAACTAAATATTCCAGTAGTGTGATATTTGGTTGATGTAGCATTTAGCGCACAGAAATCAAATATTAAACGAGTAATCGTATAATCAGAAAGCCAGAAAGAGCAATGGTTCTAAGGAAATATGTACTAACCTTTCCATGGATTTCATGTTTGATTGGGCCATCTAGCTCTGCTCCCAGTTCCATTAATTTCATGACTGTACTGTTAATGTCTGTTACTGTAAAGGACAGGAGCGAAGAGTATTGTTTCTGGACGACATGGTCACTGCAAACCAGCATTAGCAGTTATATTAATGAACAAATAAAAGATAGTTACTTTTAAGAACACAGTCAATGCGGATTATGTAAAACAGAACGGTTAAGATATGGATTGCGAGTTACAAACTTTAATATATGTCACATTCAGAATTTGTATTTATCGGAAGTATTCTCTTCATCGAGAAATTTTCTTAATGACATGGAACACTAAGAAGAATTTCAACTAAATTACCATCATATATTGGATGTGTATGTGTGTAACAAAATACTAACAACTAATGATGCTTTGATCAGTTATCACGTCTATAAAGCCATTCAGCCACAGTTCTCCATCGAAGATAATGCATTGATGAATGATTACTGCCTATAAGGGAATGATGATTGTTTACATTAATAAATTCTGACCTCGTGTTATTGTGTTACCTAAATTGTGGTACAAAATGTAGGCCTGTTCACGGATCGGATATCCGATCCGAAATGTGATTTCGGATCGGATATCCGAAGACTCGGATATCAAAAATTGATATCCAAATCCGATTTCAAAAAAATTCGGATATCCGATATTCGGATATCCAAAATTTTCGGATCGGATGCTTCGGATATCCATTATCCAATATTAAGTAAAATTGTTATGATTACTTTCTAAATTTCATTAATTTTACAGTTTTTTTATCGCTAAGTTGTACAAAATATTTTAACAAAAATAGTAGTCCTTTTGCAATTAATATTATCATCAAATATATTAAGAATATTACAATTAGTTAATAATACAGGGTTAGTTTTATATGAACAATGTAAAAATTATATTATTTTAGGTTTTATATTTCGGATATCTTTCGGATATCGGATATCCGAGATTCTAAAAATTAATATCCAAATCCGCATCCGATATCCGTTTTTTCGGATCGGATATCCGATCCGAAATGAAGACTCGGATCGGATATCCAAAAATTCGGATCGGTTGCGGATCGGATTTTCGGATAGTTTTGTACAGGCCTAACAAAATGGGTATGGGAACGCAATTTGTGTCCTAGTTTTGTTAAGTTAGTCCAAAAGTGTGCTCCTCACACATACCAATTCACATTTTCAGATTGCAGTTCATAAAGGCTTTTTCAAATTGCAGTTCATAAAGGCTTAGTAATTTCATTAACACTACTCTGAGCTTAATCAAACATTTGAAGCATAAAATTTACAGCAACATCTAGTGATTTAGTGTTTGTTGCTCAAGAGCCCAATAATCTGCCTCTCATATGCTAATATAAATTACACAATTCAATATCAAACATTGGAGACAATCTAACTGCATACATCTCACACAATTGGATTCTTCGACGCAGGCTTAACTCAATTTAACAGAATTACACCCTAGTCCAATAAGTCAATAAGAAGAAGGCAACTTCATCAATAAATTTTACCAAGTTTTGAAAATTGAAGCAAGAGAACTAACAACATTGACTTTCTTGCTGCAAATCGTTTATTGGGGTTCTTCTCATTTAATCTAATTGAAAACCTTATCAAGAACAAATAATATAAATTACAATGATCAAATTGAACATAATTAAGCCATTAAAACAAAGAAGAAAACCCCAAATCATCAGTTCATCACCCAAATGAAATCAATCAAAAACCCAATACAATTAGTCTGAATTCTGATGCAATTTCACAGCAAAATTGATGGAAATTAGTCAAAGTTCTAAACTTTCTGACTTGATGACGTCAAACCCATTGAAATTCAATCAAAAATTAAGGAAGAAAGGAAAGAAGGGAACCTGGAAGAGTGTAAGAGAGCAAGCTTGAAGGAGTCAGAGCTGAGTTCGGCCCAACGAGGAGTGCAGACATTAATGGTGAAACCCAAACCATCGGAGTAGAATTTGGCAGCTCTGGGTACATCCTTGTGCATCTGCATCACCCATTTGAACACCGCTCCTCCCATCTTTCCCATCGAACCAATTATATTTGAGAGATTTCAAGGGTTTTGCATTGTTTTTTAAGGCTCGGTTTCTTGTCAACTTATGTCGTGTAATTTTAACATACGGGTTTGTTTCAATTTACGGCAAACAATTGAACTGAAATGTGATTGAGTCTGAACTGAAATGTAATTGAGGCTGAACTGAATTGAATAGAGTTGAATAGAATTGTTTATAATAGAAGAAAATTTGGAACTAAATTGATTGAAGCTGAGCTAAATCAAAAAGAATAGAACTAAAATTAAGCTGAACAGAACAGAACCTGAGTAGGTGTAGTACGGGTTTTGGACTAGTTTTTTCGGTGTTGTCCTGTTTCGAGTCTTATATTATCAAATTTTCGATTTTTTTGTTTGATTATGTTTTAGACATGTGAATATTAAGGTTAGAAATAGAGAAGAGCATACATTCATAATTGTTCGCTTTTATTTTTACAAACATTAGGTAACTTTTTTATTACAATGAGGATGAAAAAAAACCCTAGAACTCAATATGCAATAACCACATTGCATCAAACTGTGATGAGGGCATGAGGTAGTAGATACATTACTATATTTGAAATTAACATTAATGATTTTTACATAGGAAGAAAAAAAACCCTCCGTATTCCGTACAAGCCAAGACTTGAATTTCATCAAACTTGTCACAGCTTATTATAGCATCTTAAGTCTTAATATCAGTATGCAAAATGAATTTATCCTAGTGCAGCTTTCAGTGTGTTGCCAATGTCGATGACAAAACGATACCTAACGTCTGCTTTGAGTAGACGCTCCATGGCCGTGTTAACATATTCCACTGGAACAACCTCAATATCTGCTTTAATATCATGATTAGCAGCAAAATCGATCATCTCCTGTGTCTCTTTCATGCTTCCGGCACAACTTCCAGCTACGATCTTCCTACCTGTCAAATAAAATCACAAAAACCAATCATGTATTTCTGTTACATAACAATTCATTAGCTGAAACACGATCATGCATAATTGCATACCCATTAGCAGAGGGTTGATTGGCAACTCAAGAGGTTTGCCTGGAGCCCCAACCATGATCAACTTTCCATGAGTCTTCAGCAGATCAATCAATGGTAAGAGAGGATGAGTTGCTGAGACTGTATCAATTATACCGTCCATTGTCCCCACAGAAGCCTATACAAATACAACGTACAAGTAACTCAGGTCAATATTGACACAAAAAAAAGTTGAATCAAGTATGCATACATATGATGAAAGTTACCTGCAGTTGCTGAGGGTCGTGGCTGACCAGAAATGAATCAGCACCAAGACGATTGATAGCTTCCTCCTTTTTGTTAGGTGAGGTGCTAATGACCGTGACCTTAGCACCAAATGCCTTGGAAAATTTCACAGCCAAGTGTCCTAGACCACCAAGGCCAACAACGCCAACATGGAGTCCAGGAATGTCAAGCTCAAAGTATTTAAAAGGGCTGTAGACAGTGATGCCGGCACATAAAAGAGGGGCAGTAGCATCAAGTGCCATCTTCTCAGGAATGCGAACAGCAAAATGCTCATCTACCACTATTATATCAGAGTAGCCTCCATATGTAGGGGTGCCATCCAAGTAAGTGGATCCATATGTTAAGATCATTTTGGGACAGTAATTCTCAAGATGCTTGCCACAACTATCACACGAACGACAGGAATCAACCATGGTTCCTACCCCAACTTTGTCCCCTACTTTGAATTTTGTTACCTTGGCTCCAGTAGTAATAACTGTTCCTACCATCTCATGTCTACAATCAATGAAAGCAGGATCCAGTTAGATGCCTTATCTTGTTATCAACCTGTTCTTTAGTGTATAGTGGTGAAGTTTCCGGTATCCTCCAAAAGAATAAGAAAGAACTAGGATATGCTTTGTATAGGAAATGCATTACTAGATCATATTCATCATAATCACAACTATATGCATTCATATAATCATATCTAAACAAATCTGCAACTGTTCCTCGAGTTAGATTTAGTGATCGTATAAGAAAGCCACAGTCATACCTGGGGATAAGTGGATAGTTGGACATTCCATGATCATTCTTAACAAAGTGAAGATCAGTGTGACAAATACCACTATACAATATTTTGACAGTGATATCATTTTCTCCATTGGCCCTGAACCAAAATATCAATCTTACATTAGCTAAGTAAGCTCAACAGATTACAAGTTCAATCTAAAAAGAAAAGGGTGAACACGCAAAAGAATATCAAAATATTACAACCTTCTAGAAAAATCAAAGGGTGAAAGGATGCCTGATGAATCGCGAGCTGCCCATCCATAAGCCTGTTGTTGCTGCTGATCAACTACAGATTCATATGTGCTGGACATTATATATACTTGTACTAGTACAATACTCCGTAAAATCTCTAAATTATTGAAAATTTCAAGTCACAATGTACTGATGTAGCATCTCAGGGAAAGTTCCCCCTTTTATAAGAGGAATTCCTTGTGATTGATTGATGAACAAGTAAAGCTTTCAATAACAGTAGTATCAGCACTAGTCAAAACCAAAAAAGCCTTCATAAGTGAAGTAAGTGATAACATTATCATCAAGGATATAAAATGTCATACATGACGGAGTCTTTTTACCTATGTTACGAAGGTGTGTTTGTCTAACATATGGACATAACACAAAACAATTAGTCAAAAATGGATGCATTAGGCTCACTTTTGGCTGTTAACAATCAATGTACAGTAGACACTCATTCAACTATTAGTCTATTAGAATTGAGTATTTAATTAGTCTTTGTTTTGAAATATAAAAATCAAAAAGTTAAAGATAATTTGCTTGTAAAATTAACAGTGTACATAACATACACAGAACAGAACTTCAGATTTATAATCATAACTGAAGAAAACCTCATTGGCACCTAGATGACACAGTTCAAAGATCCCTGCCAATTGATGCAGAGAAGACGCTTCGTGTTGGATAAAAGGACATTACTTGATGCATAAAGTAGTAGCTATATTTTTTTTTCAAATGCTTCAGCTGCAACTCTTGTTCATCTTTAAAGAAGCATAGCAAAAGACAGTTCAATGAGATTCAGACTCAAATTCTCTCTATATTCCATCAATATTGTTACAACTACGTTGATTGTTTATTTTTGAGTCTTACTCAGGCCAACTAACAAAGAAAAGACAGGTGATGCCTTGCCCGAATCTTTTCTCGTTTGTAGTTTGTTCACAGGATGAAGATTTGTGTTAAAACTTTCTTGCCAAAGTGTTGCACATTTATCTGCCAGTTTTCTCCCAAATATTCACAATGCAGACTTTACTCCAGAGAATTATAATCATTTGTCGTCGATCTGAATTTTATTAACCCGATCATCAGCCAGCAGCGAGGAAGAAAGATGATAACAGAACCTTGCTTGTTAAGTTGCACCTTTGGAAACTTTTGATTGTATGTTTCGCCCCTCCACCCTTGCTTCTAGAAGCCTAGCCTTCAACGTGTTTTCCTTACTGCTCCTAGGCCATATCGAAGAAGACTCAGAGATTTCATGGTCTTGTGAAAGAATTTTGGATTCCCAATTCTTCACAGGACTAGCAAGATCTGCTAACAAGAAATGATTATCTGGTAATTCACTCTCTGGATGAATTCTCTCTCCCTCTATTGATGAAGAGTTATTCCTCAATAAATTATCGGGCATACGATTTGAATTCCCTGCCCGATTTCCAAATCGTTTACTCCTCCTTTCTAGTAAACCTTCTTCTGTTACAGCCTCTTGGTTGTCGTTCAGGGTGTGTCCATTACTTAACGTCATCCGAGCCATGTGTTTCTCAAAGCGTGCTTGCAAGCTGGATAAACTACGGCCATTATTACTTAATTCTTGACATTCACCATTTCTCTTTGTTGCATCTTTCTTCTGTATTTCTTCAAGACCCCTTTCTTCATAAGAATTACCAACATTTTTTGTGTGAACCCCATTGGAATACTCTCCACCAAAATTCTTTGTCAATTCAAAACAATTTGACTCACTATCTGAAGAGTCATTTTCATCTTCTTCATCAACATTTTGAGGAGCGCTTGTAGTCTCATTCAATGGGAATGACTCCAATGACTGACGGCGAAAACCACTACTCTTGGAACTTTTGTTATGAAAGTCAACATCTTCTCTTGAATCCAAAGTTCGCCTAGCTTTTAAGAAGGTTTCTATTTCAGGCCTAAGCTTGTCCACAATCATGCCCTTTTCTTCCATATCCTTGCGCATTTCTTCTGCTAGCTTCATCTGTACCCGTTCATCCAACCAAGCCTCTGAAATATGGAGAACAAGGCTATCAACATGTCCTCTATGAACTTGTTCTTTTTCACTCCTGAATTTCTGAGACCTAAGCTCCTGCTCATAGTCTCTTATTCCCATAGTAAACTCATCGCATAAGTCCTCCAGGAGTATTCGTGCTCTTCTCTCCTTTTCTAGTTCCTTCAAAGCCTTAGAGAAGGAAGATTTCATGTCAGAAACCTCTCTGGCCATCTTGCGATGCAAGCTCTCAGAACGCTTTCTAAGTTTTCTCTCATCTTCTAGTTCTTGTCTCACTGATTGCAATGCGGACTGCATTCTATCTTGCTCCATGTTTCTTCTGACATGTTTATGCTCTGCTACTTGCTTCATCAGCTCATCTATCACCTGCCTGTCCTTTTGTTTCTCACGCTGCAGCTCTTTCATTCTTGTTCGTGCATTGTCCAACTCTGTTTTCATAGCCTTTAATATTGACACGTTCGATGTGTGCTGCTCTTCAAGGCACCAGATGCGGTTGAGAACTTTGAGCAACTCTGTAGATGTTTTAAGGCTGTTGCTTGGATCACCCATTCTCCCCTTGAAATCTAGAGAACTGCTAGGAGTAGCAGCAGGATTGTATGGTGTTACCTGTTCAGTAAACAAGACAGTGTATTTAAGAAAATTTGACTACCTAAGAAACTAGTACTACAAAAGATATCTAGTACTTGGGTAATCAGGCGAGGAAGCTTCAACCCATTAAAAACTCTGTCTAGTTCGGTCAATTCAGATCAGAAAATGTGATTTCATATGAAGAAACCCTACAGTTTATGGTTGAGAGCTGGAGATGACAACATTAAAACGGGAAGATTGTCACAAGAGTCAGGAACCCTGATCAGACAATTAACAAGATATTAATGCTAACAACAGTTCCTACCATGCTTTCAGATCATATACATGTTTTTTGCTCTTGTATATGTATTATACTATGAACAGCATCAAGATGCCATGTTTTTCACAAACTATTAGAGAGAGAAAATCAGAAAACAATACAGGTATGTATACAAGTGTTATGTGAGCACTGATTGCTCTCAAGCTTAGTTATAACCAAAATGTCAATGTCTATGTACTAATTCAAATCAGATCATACAATTGGATAATCAACAGGGTTCTGAGTAGAATAGAAAAATGCCAATTTCTTCACACACCAAGGGACAAGCATATTTACCTCCATAGAACTGCTATAACTAGCAGGAGACACTGGTTGAATTTCACGGCCATTCCTGTTCACTGCTCGATGGTTTCGCAGAAGCGATGCTGCTATATTCCTGTGGAAGCTTCCCGCACTTACAGGCTGAAACAAGCACAAAAAGAAACTCATGAGCAGGTCAATTAAACAGACTGGCAGAAACCTCCCAAAATTATAGAGACATCAATGCCATGACGTAATTGGAAACTTGGAATTAGGAATTCATTTAATGTCACGAGTTGTTCATGGTAAAAAAAAAAAAACACTGCAAGGCATGCCATATGCGTTATCCTGGTGGCTCAATCTGCAAACTCAATATAACCATGATGGGCCAAATCAATATTGGGATTTGTTCTTACCAAGCTTTGCACTTCCAAGGATAAGGCGATTAAGCAATCAAGAAGAATATAGAGATTCTAAGGTAAGATACAAAAGAAATCTTCACACCAGAAAAGGCTATACATGATCTTAAAAGCATGCTTCTTAATGATGAAGGGAATGAATCATGAATTTACAAAAAAAGTCATGATGACTCTCTACACAAACACTTATCCCTTATCACCTTATGTATCTTCATGTTAAATCCCTCTCTAGCTATATCTAGCAAGAGATTACAAGTCACTGAATGACAAATTAATAAGTCAAAACTGAGATTGATGTGAAACAAAGTGTGCGGGTCAAGTCTAGGTAAAGGCAATGCATGTGATCGAGCAAGCGTTTGGGTCATTTGGCTGTATTTCTTTCTGTCTCCAGAAACATGCCTGCAGCATACAGCCATACAAGATACACAACACCCTATCTCGGAAGAAGCACAGCCATTCCCAGAAACATGCTTGCAGCATACAGCCATACAAGATACAGTTCCCTATCTCAGCAGAAGCACGGCCGGCTATTAATGCCTCTTCCTGTCTCCAAAATCATACTTGCAGCACGCAGGATACAGTCCCTACAATGTCTCTTTTTATCCTAACTTTATACAGGAAATTGTTCACTTCATTTTACTTAGTATCTTTGCAGCAATTAACTCTCATTCTCCCAAATTCTTACACATAAGAGGCTGAAATTTCAGTGACATAAATGTTGCAACAATTTTATTTTTTATTTTTTTGATTGATTTTGTTGATCTAGAATGATATTGATTAAACCACTTGCATTCACATCTCAACAGAATTCCCAAAACTTGCTAACAGTACGGAAAAAAATGAAATTAAGGCAGCATATATGCAAAAGGGTTTACACATCAAGCAAGAAAATTCACAAAAACAACAAAACCCAGAAAAATCAGCAAGAAACAACACAAACTCAGAAAACAATAAATTAAAAAAATGATAATAATGAAGCAAAAAATACCTGTTCATGAGAAGCATCATCAGGTGGGTCCTCCAAAACAGTATGAATCTGCAAACCCTTATTTTTGAGACCTTTATTATGATTATGATGACGGCGGTTCATTTTAGCAAGAGAATTAAGATGTGGTAAAACTTCCCACAAATTTGCACCCAATTGTCTTGCTGTAACAGATGAACTACTCCCACAATTATTAGTATTAGTATTATTATGAACAATATTAGAAAGATTTGATTTTTCTTCTTGTTCTACTACTACTTGTTCTTCTTCTTCTTCTAATTGTTGTTGTTGTTGTTTAAGTTGAAAATTGGGCTCAAATTTCCAAGTAGGAGGTGGAGTAGTATTCCCCCCTCCTCTGCTTTTCCCCACCAATCTTCCGCGTTGTTTCAACTTTAATCCCAGGAATTCCTCCTTTTCTTTACCCCCTTTTTCTCTCTCCTCCATTTTCTTCTTCTTTTTATTCTTAAACTTGCAATTTTTCAAACTCCTGTTTCTCTTTCTTCTTCCATTTTTTTACACTGTCAAGAACAAATAAAAAAGCGATCTTGATTCAATCTCAAATTTTCATACTACTCCGCTAGAAGTGTTAATTGTAGTGTAGTGAAGTAGGCAACTAGTGTCTAGTTTGTAGAGTAGAATAATAGGAAGAGACTAAAAAAGCTAACTTTAACTTTATTATTTCTACCATGGGTGAAAAAACTTGCGTGCCGTGAAATGTTTGAAGTTTGAACTCTACAAAATGTAGGTAATGTT